TTTGAAGTGGTTGTTGTGGTGTATGACCCATGATGCTTTGGGGTCATCACCACGAGACATGATAGTTGTTTTGAACATGATATTGAAAACACATGTACAATGAATATCGAAGAACACTACAGTTGTCATGGTAACGCGATCATTTTATTCTTAAAATGTGAATGGAGTGTGCTAATTATTCTTACTTGCAGCTGAGACCGAAGCTGAATTTCGAAGTACGCAGCTCGACCTGATCCAGGGTCAGTTAGGTGAATAATCCCAATCCACCCAACACCGCGGAAAAACGTCTGCGCATGCACCAAATTATGAAAATATGGCGGGGAATTTGAATATCAATTTCTAAAACAAAAACATGCTTATTAATTGGTCAAAAATTAGTAAAACAAACGAGAAAATATAGCAAATGGGTAGACTAAACATTAATTGAAAGCGTCCTGGCATTTAAAGTATGGAATGAAATAGAATTCATGTAAAAAAATTGTTGATTTTAACGGACACGACTTCGAAACTTTTTGCAAAATTATTCAAAACAAAAATTCAAACTCAAAAGTTAAGAAAACTCTCGAAAAGTTAAGCTTCTTAACCCACTCAAATTGTAGAATAAATTCTAAAGTTTAATTATTGTGAACACTAAAATTTTTTATATTTGGCGACACAGTTTTTTTTAAAGAAATGTATCTCAAACGAAAATTCGGAAATTGTCGTTGCTTAGTTGATAAACAAAATGTTTCAGACGATAAATTTGTCAACAATCACCTTTAGTTCATGTTCTTGTACAATACAACTTCTTGAACCTTCTGGCTGTATTTATTCCTAGTTTTTAGAATGACATGTTTATTTTTGGGCTCGAAATCTGGCTGTAAAGACGCACAATGAAGTCACTCCTTTTTACCGCCATTTTGAGCCTTCGGAAACGTTTGGAACAGCTTCTCATCAAGTTCGCAATACTATTACAGGTAAGGTTGACGCATGCGCAGACGTTTTTCCGCGGTGTTAATCCACCCTCTCAACATTCCCTTTGGGGGGAAACTGCAGTATACCTGAAAGAAAACCCACGACTTTCGGTAGAGCGTTGACTAACTCGAACCCACATTTTCAGAGATGAAAGGCGTTTACTCTGACGATTGCGCCACCGAAGCCCATTGTATTTTTAGATTTTAAAAAACTAACCAAAAATATCACTTTTAAAATTAATTACACAATTATCAATTTCACAAATATGTATGTTAGGTATGTTATTATGCGCAATATAAGCTTCAATTTAAGCTAATGTAAAATCCAACCACAAACGTTTGAAAATGTTCATAAGACTAAAATAAACTAAACTAAATTAAGTATTCTGGAAACACGGTCTTAAATTGCTTAATCCCCGAGAAATGAGCGTAGCGCGAGAAACGATATTAATTCAGTTCGGCTATTTTCACCCAGATAAATGAAAGGTAGCGAAGTGGAATGTATATCAATGATCGCGGGCGTGCCACTACATGTTTTGGGTGGATCTCTCAAATTTATTTTTTAAACACTCTTCATTACCTAAAAGTGTCCAAAGAAGCCGGTGCCCCCCACCCCAATCCTTTGATGCTTCCAACGCCCCTGTATTATACAGCGTGTTGTTGAAGCTTAATCGGCCATTAATTGAAATAAATTTCCTTTAAATTCCGGGACGTCGCTACCGGGGGGTAACACCTCCAATAATTCAAAAAGTTGGTAAAAGTTGGTCAAAATGGAAAATATTTTGTTAAAGTTGGTCAAAGTTGCGAGTGGAACTTGGCAATAGTTTGTCAAAGTTTGAGAACAAAGTTGGTAAAATTTGGTCAGACTTGAACAATTTATGAATTTGTTAATGTTTGTCCGGAAAAAAATTTAAACTTTAATTGCTAATGTTAGTCCGGAAAAAATTTGAAGCTTTACTTATGTCACTCCGGAAAATTTTTTTATGATTTCCCCCCTCCCTCCTTCCCCAATATTTTCTTTGAAATTTTTAGGAGTTGGTCAAATTATACAGGAAAAGCTGGGTAAGACAAGAAGACACCCCCATGTTGATGCCTTCGCGACGTCCCTGTTTAAAATGATATTGAAATCGCCTAAAAAACTGTTTAATTAAGATATATTTAGCAAAAAATATAAAACAATTATACCATAAGCTCGAGTCGTATATTTTATTGACTTATAATATAGTGCTAAAAAACTTTTCCTTCAAGCATACTCTGATACTAAGCACAAATTTTGCTACATGAAATGATTCCAGAGGAAAACGGGTGCACATATCCCTTAAGCAAATGTCACAAATTTATAGTTCTTAAGATTCGAACCCAACGTTTTAAGAACTCCTTCATTATATCTAATAGTATAAGTGTATAAATTCTTAGCTTTATTTCGTGTTAATTATAGCTTATTGGTTTTATTGTAAATATAGTTAGTTCTTTGTATGAAATAATTCAATTGTAAAAACTCGTAAGCAATTCAGTTATATACCAATTGTAATTTACGATTTGATTAAACCTGTTCTATCTATCCATCCATCCATCCATCCGTCCGTCCATCCATCCGTCCATCCATCCGTCCATCCATCCGTCCATCCATCCGTTCATCCATCTATCTATCTATCTATCTATCTATAGCCATTAAATTAACTGCAATAACAATAATTATTATTTATTGAAAAAAATTCAAGAGATTTGATTGGCTAAGAGCTTTCTGTGAAATCGTCATATCCGTTCGGTAGCTGCCCAAATTTGGAGTTATGACATCACCTGGAATATTGAAAACAAATATACCACGTTTAACGTAAATTCGTGGTATATTGAAAAACAATAGCACACGTATAACACAAACTTCGGCCTTAAAAATTCCTCGTATCCTATATTCGACCTCATCATTCTTCTCTGTTGTAATAATTTAACAATTTGTTCAGACACAATCCGTGTCTCACCTTTCCCCCTTTCCCCCTGAGAAGTGTTTCTGTTTTAAAACTTAAAAATGAAATAAATGGTTTTAGAACACCATTGCTGACAGAATTTTATAGCTTAAATGTTTTGCAGTACAGTAAGTGCTTGTTGACGATCGTGACTAAAACACCACACGAGTAAAACGAGTTACATACAAGTACACACGACTTAGGCCTATATACGAATACGTGGGAGTACATACGAGTAACACACGAGTACATACGAATAACACTCGAGTGCATACGACTAACATAGATACGAGTGCATATATACGACTTACATTTTAGTACATACGTACGGTGGTGCAGGGCCATCTCTCTCTCTCTTCTTTTTCCCAGCCGCGCGAGTTAAGGCGCCACTTAAGTCGCGGGTTAAAGCGCCATTTATTCCGTCATGATTTTACTCACACGATCGAAATGTGTTAGGAATTAGGAATTTTGTAATAAGTAATCGAAATAAGGTTGTACCAATCATTGCAACATGTTTGCAGGAATGTAGGGCTTGATACGTTTTAACGTTTCTACACCTGCCCCAACTTTGCAAATCGTTTGAATGTGTTCATTCCAACTTAGTGTTTCATCAAGTGTAACGCCCACACAAGAGATTGAATGCACTCTGTGAATCGGTTGGCCATTTAACATTACAGGAATATCATCGTTTATCTTATGAAGATTATTTATCTCTAAAATCCAAACTTATAACTCCTATAAGCTATATGATCCCGCATGGGAATTAATATACCAAGAAATTCAGAAGGAAGCACCAGATAAGGTTAGTTAGTGGCTGGTGAATTAACATATTGTGTTTGTATAAATTTTATGACCTCACCCTTGCAATTTGTTAACTTTCTTGAAACCTCTGCCTCATCTGTGTTAGAAAATCTTAAAGCCCCCCATAATTTTAACCGCCCCTTCCTTAAGTTTAACCCGCGGCTTAAGTGGCGGCTTGACTTGCGCAATATCAGGCTGATAAGTGGCGTGAAAATTCAGAGCGCGGCTGGTGAAAAGAAGAGAGAGAGATGGCCCTTCTGAACCACCGCCCATACGACTTACACACGGGTAGTAAACTCGTTTCCAGTGCTTATATGTCGCATTATAGACACAAGTATCGTATTATTGGTTGACAAACTTGATTGGTTGAAGCAACTTACGTCAAATATCAATTTCTCCGCTGCCCTCATTCCTACCAATCCTTTGCAATCGAAATTTTACGTACACTTAGCATACTACTCTGCTATAAAAACGATGCAAAGATGACATGCAAAAAATTTTCAAGATACAATACAGTTAAATACAGAAGAAACGCTCAGTCTATATAAAAAAATACTGGAATGTTTGGTCATTTTCATGCAAAACGAATTCACAAAACTAATTAACTAGACAACTAGAAAATAGACACTAAAATGTAAATATACAACTTGTCATTCTATTTTAAAAGAATTTATCTTTCCTCCATTCGTCGGAATCCATATTTTAAGCTGGTATATATCAGATATGATAACAAATTTATAGCAAAAGTGAAAGAAAACGAGTTTACTACCCGCATGTACGTTGTATGTACTCGTATGTAAGTCGTATGTACTCGTATTTATTATATATAGTAGAGAGTGAGATACTGAAGAATACACAGCGAGATATTTTCCATATCTAAACTAGTGAAGTTATCGATCACGTGACTTTTAGTATTTATACACTTTTTTGCTTGAGACTATATAATAAACAGAACATATGACTTTTATCTTCTCGTGTTAAAAACAATATTTTACTCACTCGCTGCGCTCGTTCGTAAAATATTGTTTTCACCACTAGAAGATAAAAAGTCATATCTTCGCGCCGCCGTGTAATATCCTCCCCGAAAGTCTATTTACTCGTGCGGAAGTCGTATGTACTCCTATGTAACTCGTGTTATACTCGTGTGGTGTTTTAGTCACGATCCTTGTTGACCGCAAACTCAATCAGTTATTTTTGGTTGCGACTTTTTCTGAGCAATGGACAACTTGCATGTTAGACTAAATTTTAATCTAAGCAGAGAAAAGGGAATAAAACACCACAGCTGAAAAGAACATACTAAAATTAGTAAAAGTGCAAAATTTGGTTGCGAAATGTTGTAAAGCTTGGAAAATATAGCTTTGTAAAGTTTGCATATTTTCAGTATATTTGTATTACGAGCGGAAATTGTTACCATTTTCGGCTCAAAAATGGTAACAATTTCCGCACGTAATACAAATGTACTGAAAATATGCAAACTTTGCAAAGCTATATTTTCCAAGCTTTACAACATTTCGCCACCAAATTTTGCAAGTTTACTAATTTTAATGAGTTCTTAACGGGAATTTACTTTTTTTTTGCCTAGATCGGCTAGATCAAAAATTTGTCTAACATGCAAGTTGTCTATTGACAGAAAGACCTCGACTGCTTTCATATTTTCATATGTATGCAAATAATTCAAGGCTCCTCTCAGGCAGATCTTATAAAGTTTCTTGCAAAAAGTAGCCAAAAAATAGGATGCTTCCAAGTCGTCATTTCAGGGGCTTTTTCCATTTCTTTTGACCAGATTTGTCAAATATAGGCTTATATATTCTTCATTTATCATTATATAATGTCATTTTCAAGATATCATGCAACACTTGAAGACGCTATATAAAATAATCATAATAATCATAACAATAATCATAATAATCATAACAATCATAATCATAATAACCACAATAATCACAATAATCACAATAATCATAATAATCATAATAATCATAATAATCATAATGTTCTGGTTCTTCAGACCCCGTCTTGAGGCCCTTCTCCAGCAGTGGACCGTTCACAAAAAAAACCACTGAAATACGTAGGTTTATATTTTTATTTATTTGTGAGTTAATATGCGGTATAAGGAGAATGCTATATGGAGCGATCGAAACAAAACCAAACATGCTATCCCAAAAAACAATCACCTCACCCCCGACTTGGATTTGGTAAAAATACAATACACACGTGACGGTGAAACGACCAGATTTATGAATAAACGTTGACCAACATAGATAATGAGTTATATTGTTATTCTAATGAGTTTCACAGCCATCTTCCCTTCGATAGGCTATGCTTCAATTTAAAGTAAAATTCAAACTCAAACCGCTTCGCAAGACGTTTTAAACTGATGTTCTTTATGAAACTAAACTGCCTTTATCGAAAAACTTTGAGTTTGAAATAAAATGATTTCAAATTCTTGCATTCAAATAAGTTTGCCTTCTTTATTATTTAAAATTAATAATATAATAAAAAAGGGTAATCAATAAAGAAACACTGAAATTATATGCTGTCTTTTTCATTAAAAATATACGCAACGATCAGCTTTTAAACAATACATCAATATTTAAAACAAACGTACCTTCGTTAACGTCGGCGCCTTTAGTCCCTTCTTTTAGCAATTCTTTCGCCTTTACTTTCTTAACAAGCTTTTAAAATTCACAAACTTAGATCTTGCAAAAATGAAATATATTTGCAAGAAATCATCAAATCCTTGAAGAAATGTTTGTTATTTCGCTGTCGTCATGCATCGTTATAATGCAAATTTTAAATTTGACCAATCAGCGTTCGCTAATCATGACAGTCGGCCATATTTTTGAGATTAGTGAGGATGACCACACGCCCGCGATCATTGACGAACTTCAGACTTCGCTAATGCTTCGTTTTCCCGGGTGTAAATATCCGAGCGGAATTAGTACCCTTGCCCCGGGCTTACGCCCGGAACGGTGCTCCGCGCCGTTGGCTCGGGGACAAGCATTACAATTATTTACAAATTTATTTACATCAATACCCTATGGCTATGTGTATTTAAATTTACTTAGTATATCCAAGTCTTGGAGCGTTAAAGCGGATTCGAACTTTTGTACCCCAAAACACATTGATCCTGATGTATAAAGCCTTAGTGTTACCTTACTCAGACTATTGTAGTGAGGTTTTGGGCTGCCTAGGTAAAACCCTCTCTGAAAAACTCCAAAAACTGCAAAACAGAGCCGGTAGGATAATAACCTTCTCTGATTATGACGTAAGATCAGCTGATATACTACACAGTCTTGGTTGGGAAACTCTTGACCAACGTCGTGCTAAACAGCTCGCAACAAGTATTTGTAAAGCAGTGAATAATTTATATCCCAACGAGCTTAATACTATTTTTGAACCTACCTCGCAAGTCCACTCTCACAATCTTAGAGGTAGTTCGCACAGTATGTTCACCCTAGACCCAGAACGGAGGCTGGTAAAAGGAGCTTCGCGGCTACCGTGGGGCTGTGTTATGGAACGATCTTCCGGATGAAATAAGAAGTCAGGCTTCAATATATCTTTTCAAAAATAAACTTTCTAACTTTCAAATTTAATACTAAGATTAAGTAGTTGTAAATATGATAGGATTGTATATATATTTAGCTAATTTCTTTTGTTTTTGTATTTTTACATGGCTCCTTGGAAGAGCACTTTAGTGAAAGGACACCACCGCGGTCACGACCACACAATTCGCTTTGAAATTTAAAGTGTTTGTGATTGAAACTTAGCGATGTCGATTTGAAATATTTAACGAAGTATACCGAACTCATTACTCACGTAGTATACTATTATTTAATCAAAAAATCCAAAAATAAAACTTACAAAACTTAAAACTAAAATATATTAAATTTCTCACAGTCTCACGAATCACGATCTGTCTCACAGTCTCAATGTTGTTTTTATATTCTCTGTCTATCAACTAATTGCTCTTACTTCAAAATGTCAATCTTGTTTATAAAAGTCCCCGCCCCTTGTCACGCCACCTAATGTGGCCTATACTAATTTCGGTTCACTACTCTCCTAAAAATTCAGTCTTAATTTTTATAAGTCAACACAATGTGAACTGTTCTCATTTACTGTTCCCTGCTTAGTCTGCATCCTCGTTTTCTGCTAGCTCACGTATTTTCTTACTTGCTTCAATTGCTGCTCCCCGTTTCTTCCTTTCATTTTCAACCGTCTGCTTCTCTTCGTTCTTTCTTTGTTCTATTTGCGTTGTGCATCGAATTTCGAGTGGACACACCAACTGTAACGGTCTTTCGATAGTGTGTCCCTTGTGTAAAAGTACCACGCCACGCACCACTCCGTCCTTACCTTTGACTTGTCGCACTACCTTTCCCTTCTTCCATTCGCTCCTGTTCTTTTCTTCTCCCACGACTAAAACTACTTCACCGACTTCAGGCGCGTTAACTGGCTTTCCGTTTACTCGTTGGCTTTCCATTAAACTGTGTACGTATTCTCGTTGCCATCTTTTCCAAGCGTTGTTCTTTGCTTTGGCGATTCTCTTTTGCATCTTCGTAAGCTCGTCTACGTCATTCTCTATGTCATCAAGAAGGTAAGTGTTTTTCCCTCGGATGAGAACGTTTGGCGTTAGTACTTCTTCCTCTCCACTTTCGCTTTCGACATAGGTTAATGGACGATTGTTCATATTAATTTCAATGTCCATGAGGACCATTTCCAAATTCTCGAATGAAAGGTGCGATCTTCCGAGGGTCTTATAAAGGGTTTTCTTTACTTCCCGAATCAATCTTTCATAGATCCCTCCCCACCAAGGGGATTTAGCAAGGTTGAATCTCCAGTGTATACCTTGTGCTGCTAGGAAATCGTGCAATTTCTCACTCTTTCTAATGGCTTTGATTAGTTTGGCTGTCGTTTTAAATGTCGCTGCGTTGTCCGATATCATTAATCGAGGTCTTCCTCTTCGAGCGATGAATGAGTTGAGCTTTCGTTGGAATTCCTCTGCTTCTTGGCTCTTGGTTAGTTCCAGGTGGATCGCTCGAGATGCTGCACACGTGAAGATTAATACGTAGCACTTTCCCTCTTCTCTCTTACTGATTTTGTGTCTTAACGGCCCGGCGTAATCGACACCGGTGACTTCGAATGGTTCGCTAGATTCTGTTCTAAAGCTGGGCATGTTGCTCGTCAATGGTGACCCATACGGCTTCGTGGAATACAACTTGCAGATATTGCAATTGTTGATTAATTTTTTCACCTTTGATCTAAGTTGTGGTATCCACCACTGTTCTCTCAAAGCAGCCATGGTATTTGCGACACCGAAATGTTTGATCTTGCTGTGGGTGTGGGCTATTAGCTTTTCTACGAACAGTCCTCCGTCAAGGTATATTGGCTCGTATCCATTTACTCTTCCTTTACACTTGAGAACTTTCGTTACTTCGTCTTCGACGATTCTCCAACCTGGCGCTTGTAATTCAGGGTTGACACCTTGTTGTACTCTCCTTACCCAAGCGTTTCTTGCAACTGTAATTTCTTCGCTTACAAGAGGCCCCGATCGCTTTTGGTTTCGACGAACTCTTGCCAAACAGTTGTTTAGAAATCTTAATGCCCATGATGTTACTCGCAATGTACGCCAGTATGTATTTCTTTCTAACAAAGCGTCCCATTCGTCTGGCTCTCGATCTTTCGTAAACAGTGCTTGCTCTTTAATTGGTTTGCATTCTTGACTGACAGATGTAGTTACTTTCAAATTGGGTTGCTCTGGCCATTGTTCTTTCTCTAATAACCAATCTGGACCGTTAAACCAGCTTCCGTTTTGCAATTTTTCCATGGTTGCTCCTCTGCTCCCTAGATCAGCAAGATTCTTATTTGACGGACAATATTTCCAAATGATGCCAAGCTCGTTGGTTATCTCAGCTATCTTCTTGATTCGATTGGAGACAAACGTCTTCCATGGTTTCCCTGGATTGGTCAACCAGTAAAGCACTACCATGCTATCTAACCAGATCACAATGGTCTTGATTGGTTGCCGGTGAAGAGCGTTACGTAAGTTCTTCGCCATGTTCGCAGCCATGTGAGCTCCTACGAGTTCCAATCTGGGTATGGAAGTGTTTCTTTTTGAAATCCGGGACTTCGATGTCAGCAACCCTTTGATCGTTCCGGATGAATGTTCAACTAGTGCTATGCTTACTGCAGAACATGCGAGATTGCTTGCGGCGGCAAACACATGGAGCTCGAATTTCCTGTTAAGCTCCTCGGTACTTTCACGTTCTTTAGTTGTTTGTTCCATTTGTGCCATTGTATCTTCAATTCTGGTGAAACCTCGGCATTCCATCCCTTTTTCTCTTCACAAGCCTCTCTATAAATGTGTTTTCCTTCGGCCATCGTGGGTGATATTATTCCCAATGGGTCGTACACTTTGCCAAGCTGACTCGAGATGCTTCGTTTCGTAACTGGTTCTGTCTCAGGTATTGCTGGTACTTGTATTTCTAAAGTGTCTTCACGCTTGTCCCAAACATGACCAAGAATTTTGCTAGGATTTGACATGTTCTCATCCTCTAATGTCGCGATGTTCGACTCCCACTTGTGAATCGGTAATTTTGCACTCTCAAGAATAACTTCACTTTCTTTCTTAAACTTCTCCAACTTATCAATGTTATTTCCCGTTTGCATGATATTGTCCACATACGTATTTTCTCTAAGGGCAGTCACTGTTTCCTCTAATTCTGGTGATTGTTGGTCGTAGTGGTATTCTAATGTAGCACCGAGTAAGAATGGGCTGGCTTCAACCCCGAATGGAACTCTGGCGAACCGAAAATGTTCCTCTTTTTCGTCGCGCTCGAAGAGAAATCTGAAGGCATCTCTGTCTTCTTCTTTGACTGCTATCTGTAAAAAGGCTTTTTGAATGTCTGCAAGAAGCAGATTGGACGACATTCTTGCTCTCACCATAATATCCCACAATAACGGTTGGAGGGGAGGCCCAGTAAACATACAATTGTTAATACTGGATGCTAGTGGATGGGGTTTGGAGCTCGCATGAAAGACCATTCTCACTTTCGTTGTCGCTGCGTCTTGCCTTACGACTGGCTTATGTGGCATGTAGTACACTCGCTCTCCTGACGGCTCGTCTGGGGGCTTTCTCAATCACACCGCTTGCTAGTTGATCATCGATAATCTTCTCATACTCTTGCTTCAGGTTTTCGTCTTTCGCTAACTTTTTGTTCACGTTGAACAGTCGTCTTCTGCTTGGCTGTTCGTTTGTAGTTGTCAACTTACTCCCTGGAATCCATGGTATGCTAACTTGGTATCTGTCATCTTCTTGTCTGGTTATGTTCTCTCGAAACTCAGCAAGCACTTGCATTTGATCATTTTCACCACGGTCTTCAACTCCAAGAACATCAAGGCTATATAACTGTTCGTAATCGTAAATTTCTCTAGTGAACATACAGGCATCGCTCGAATAATCCTCACCACCATGTATGACCCATCCGAATGTTGTCTCCTCCACCAGGGATCTCCGGGATTTCCTTTGTAAACTTTCTCAGTTCGGATCCTGCTGTATGTGCCATCACCGAGTATGAGATGAATTGGATGTTCCCCTTTGGCGGTCATGTAAAATCTTTTGTCTTGAGTATGGGTGTACTTCATCTTGAGTTCATTCATATCTGGTCTCTTAACTGTGGTAAAATCTTGAAGTCTGGAACCAGTCAGTTCGATTTCTTCCTGTACTTTCCCATCAAGAGAAGTTATGGTTGTTTGGAAAATAGCCATGGATTGAGTAGAGGTACTATTCACGGTTACAATCTCGCGGGATTCATGATGTGTTGGATTCAAATCGAGTTTCTTCACAGCCTCGCGTGAAATGAAGTTTCGACTTGAGCCAGTGTCGAGGTATGCCCACAGGGTCTGTCCTTTTATGTTGACAGGTATAATGGCTGGAAGCGATTTCTCCTCGGTTAATGTGGTAAATCCCGTTAATGATGTCTTGTTCTCTTGGTTGTCTTCATTCTTATCACACAGGCTTGTGTGATGTTTGGCATTACACTTCAGGCAACCACGACTTCGGCATTGATTTCCCCTGTGCCCTGTGCGACCACAGTTAAAACACAGATTCTTCTCAGCGAAGAATTTCTTTCGGTCGGCCAATCGTTTCACTGTTTTGCATCGATCACTCCAGTGTTCATTGTTCGCGCAAAAAACACAGTGAGGTTTTGGGGGTCCCGATGACTTTTGATACCAATGTCCTTCTGGTTTCTTGTATCTGGTTTCTTTCTGATTGCTCGCTTGTTCTTCTTGTTGAAATTGTTTATCTTTCAATTCTAGCCGTCGTAATTCAGCTTCGTCATAAGCCTTTTCTTGTTTTTCCTTTAGTTGTTGTGCTATTTTCTCTTTGTCTTCGATCAGCGCTGCATATTTAGCTCTTGTTTCCTTTTTCCACTGTCTAACTGAACGCGGTGTTTTGCCGTTATCGATTTTCAACTCTTCTGTTTGTGAAATTAGCTCCGATATTTTGACAATTATTTTCCCAGCGCGATTGTTTATAGCTTCCATTTCACCGTAATCTTTCGCTTGAATAATTTCATTTGTTTCTTCTAAGAAATACTTCAACTTAGAAATCTCTTTCTCAATATCTCCTTCGAGTTTTTGCTCACCTGCGTTTGTAATCTCGCTCGCCTCTTCGTCGCTCATAATGATAAATCAACAGTGTTTACTTCGTATTTCGCCGCTTTGTGTGTTTAATTTTCGTCGCTTTTTTCCTCTCGAATCCTGGTCACGGCACCACTAGTATACCGAACTCATTACTCATGTAGTATACTATTATTTAATCAAAAAATCCAAAAATAAAACTTACAAAACTTAAAAACTAAAATATATTAAATTTCTCACAGTCTCACGAATCACGATCTGTCTCACAGTCTCAATGTTGTTTTTATATTCTCTGTCTATCAAGTAATTGCTCTTACTTCAAAATGTCAATCTTGTTTATAAAAGTCCCCGCCCCTTGTCACGCCACCTAATGTGGCCTATACTAATTTCGGTTCAGAAGTATTAGAAATTACTGAAACTGATCATGATTATTTTACCTAAACTCTAAAAAACAGTTTTGCCGACTTAGAATTTAGCAAGCGTCATGTATTTCGCTCCTGTAGGCGCGAAATTTCTGGCCCGTTACGCTTGGTCAGGTATTTCGCAGAGGTCAGGAATTTCGCTTGATCGTCATTTTCAGGTCAGTGTGAACGCCTGAGCAGGTGTCTTGTTTAAATTTAATCCTACTTTAATACTCGGCTTTTTGATAAAGTTATTTCATATACGAAAGTGGTTTATTTAAGTAATTTTGAAATAAGAAACTCGCCCACGAATATTTTGCTGAAAAAAAATTTTTTTAATAAAAAAATTGTGTCAGCAAAAAATGACAGGCATGCAAGTGCAGCATTATCCCAATTTTATGGTAGATCACTTCAAACAATTGCTCACATGTTGCCACTTGCCACATTCATATTGACATTGTTTCTCATGAGCTAACACATATTGACACACATAAATTACTTTATAACCAATTTATAACCAACAATATACTGCCTACTACTGTGAACAAAGCATAATATCATGGCAAAGCCAAAGTTATATCAAATAATATGTTTTTTTTCTGTTTTTCTTGTCAGTCAAATGTCTGAAACCACTAAACCAGATTCAGAAAATAAGTCGTCAAAGTCCTTGAAGTGTAATGTTAAGAACATGATATTACTTCAACAAGCCTTACAGAAAGATGTATTATCTACGTGGCCGTTAAAGAAACCTTTTTCTTCATTACGAGATCTGCATTTGGACAAGAACAATTTCTGGTCTGTTATTAAACACGAGAATAACGAACGATTGCAAAAGACTGCAGAGAAAGTTCTACAAGGAAAGCCAGTTAATGTGGTTGTTTATGGTGGATCAAACACTGCTGGCGGGGGTCTACAGGAGGATGAAAAGAGTATAAAAGGAAGGTTTCCTATTATATTACAAAGCTGGTGGGATAGCGTAATCACACCAGCGACTGGATCGCGTTTGAATATCAAAATCATTGGTATTGGTGGAACATCAAGCAGTTACTATCAGTTTTGCTATAAAGTTTATCTACATCATAATAACATTGATCTCGTAATACTAGATTCATCGGTCAACGACAGAGTAGCACTAAGATTCAAAAATTCGACCAACATCAATCAAAGTTTACCATTAGAACAATTTACACGACAACTACTTACTGACCATAATAACCCTGCAGTGATGTTTGTAAACTTCTTTCTTGCAATGCGACGTGGTTGTTTTAATCTCATAAACCTCGGGCAATCCCTTGTATCTAATCAATATAATATCACTACATTTGACCTACGAAATCTCGCTTGTGAGTTTAAATCGGGAATGTTCCACATTACAGCGAAGACAGCTAAATATCTAACCAAAGATAAGATTCATATGAGTTTATTGGGGCATGCGCAAACCACTTTCATGATCATTCAGGTGATTAGAAAATCAATAAGGAGACTGCTTAATGACAGTCACGTGCTCACAAACAAAACTATCTATGATTGTACCGCAACATCCAATGTATCCATACATGAACCGATTCCTCCTCCGAAGTACATCAAACCCACATCCAGTGTTATTAAAAATCCTTTATGTTGGACAGGACTTGCACCAGATAAAAAATATATGATAAGGAACACTTTAAAAGTTTCTGTTTTGAAAAGAAAAGGATTCGATTACACAGAAAACGTACCAATACTAGCCCCTCGTTATCGTGGTATACCATATCGGACTGACTGTTTCAGTTGCTGGTGTGGGACGAAGAATGGTTCTGAAATTACATTCTCGTTTGAGGCTCCAGATAACTCATCAGTCAGTATAGTTACTCGTAGCAATCATGACAGCGGAGAACTAGAGGTTTGGTTGGATAACGATATAGAAAAACGTATTAGGATATATCCTAAAACTAGAAACCGCCAGACAGTAGTGGTAGCAGTGGCTGCAGGAGTAACGTCTGGGAACCATACGTTGACTGTCAGAATTACTAAAGATGGAAATATTCCTGTTGTTGGTATAGCCGTAGGTGAATAGCTAGGAAGGTGCTCGTTTCAGCAATGTACATTATAAGTTTCATTGGGGCAAAAATTAATTAAAACTTTAATCTATATTACGTGTGATTGGTAACTATTAAAAGGTTTAGAGCCAGTCTCTTGAAAGGTTAACGTCTATTTCCTAAAGTCACTTGCACTCTCTTGCATGCGTAGCCAGGCTCGAAAGTAGTACAGCCTCTCGAATTTTTAAGTGAAATACAACTGTAATATATCAAAATCTAAGTTAGTCCTTCCTCTACTTGATGCAAGTTATTTCTCTTTAAAACATGGGTTTTCAACTTGGGGGACATGTCCCCGAGAGGGGACATTTGGCAAATTCCTAGGGGACACAAACTGGTCTAGGACTGAGAAAACAATAGTTGAATACAATAGTTTGTACTATAAACATGTTTGCTTGACTTTCTATCTATTATTCAAAATTTAAATCATTTACTATTTTACTAACTATTTCGAAATTCGTGTTTTTGATAGACTTCAGTGGGCAATTTCTGTTCAGGGGACGTGGTAATTCAATCATGTGAAATCGGGGACACATGAGAAAACCAGTTGAAAACCGTTGCTTTAAAAGCTTTACCTGTTTAGAAGTTATTAGGAATCAAACCGGAGTACTTTTTTTTGGGTTTTGGGACACCCGGTATATATATATATATATATATATATATATATATATATATATATATATATATATATATATATATATATATATATATATATATATATATATATATATATATATATATATATCTTAATATTTGTGATTTAATAGCAGGATTATTAATTTAATTAGGGACGAACATTGCATGATTGACACATTTAGATTATTATCAAAAGGAGTTAAAAGATAGGAAACATAGTGACTGTGTGACTGTGAGAGACACTAGACCGCGTATACAACTGTGAGTGATTTTCAATAATATATTTTTATAAAACCGAATTTGCTTCGTCGAGAGTTTGATTGTTCAATACCTTTTAGTATAAGGGTCAATTTACTAAACGCGTTTAACCTTCTCACTATTTAGTAAGCAACAATAACGAGTTCGTCAGTTGACCGTTTAGATTGGGCGATGTCTATATTAGAAACATTTGGTAACATCGCATACGAGTGATATGGATTTAAAAATCGTTTCGACCGACCGTATTTAGCAAACGCCGTGTATTTCGTGGTCACGACCACACAATTCGCTTTGAAATTTAAAGTGTTTGTGATTGAAACTTAGCGATGTCGATTTGAAATATTTAAGTATTAGAAATTACTGAAACTGATCATGATTATTTTACCTAAACTCTAAAAAACAGTTTTGCCGACTTAGAATTTAGCAAGCGTCATGTATTTCGCTCCTGTAGGCGCGAAATTTCTGGCCCGTCACGCTTGGTCAGGTATTTCGCAGAGGTCAGGAATTTCGCTTGATCGTCATTTTCAGGTCAGTGTGAACGCCTGAGCAGGTGTCTTGTTTAAATTTAATCCTACTTTAATACTCGGCTTTTTGATAAAGTTATTTCATATACGAAAGTGGTTTATTTAAGTAATTTTGAAATAAGAAACTCGCCCACGAATATTTTGCTGAAAAAAAATTTTTTTAATAAAAAAATTTGTGTCAGCAAAAAATGACAGGCATGCAGGTGCAGTATTATCCCAATTTTATGGTAGATCACTTCAAACAATTGCTCACATGTTGCCACTTGCCACATTCATATTGACATTGTTTCTCATAAGCTAACACATATTGACTAGCCCGCGTGCAGGCCCAAGGGAACTGATAGTGGGCCTGCAAGCAAGGCCCGGTATTTTGTAAAACGCCCCTTTTCATAACACGCCCCATTCGCGCGTCAATTGTCAAAAAAGAACCAATGACAGCACCCAAATATTAACAAACAAACTCGCATTAAAATGTTGCGGGGTTTTCTCTGCTTATTGAGAACATAAGCAATGTGTAAATGGCTGCGTTTTAACTCCAAAAAAAGCAAGCAACGCAGTCACTAATTGCCAAATTTGCAAGTGCTCACTTTCAACTAAAATCGGAACAGGCAAATTAGGACGAATTTCAACAGAAAACCGGTCTCAAACTTCAAATCGTGAGGGAAGTCGTGCGACCACATTAGCATTTATATTATATTATTGCCATTGTTATAAATAAATTGTCTCACTTATCAGATCATGTGTGCAATTCTTGTTGGCGGCGGAAAATACGAAATTTATTTCAGTTATTTCATTTGGTAAAGAACTCTACAAAAGAAGAGAGCGTTCAGAGTCCAGATCGTTTCGTTTCAAACGGCAATTTAATACCGTCTTCTGTTTCGCTCTCTCAGCGAAACCTTGTAAATCGCAAAGTGTTTCGAATAGGCTTACATGCAACTGCATCTCAACATCAACCAAAAGATAATTTTCTTGAGGAACATATAACGTATCAAGTCTGTTTGAAATTCATGAAACTCAAGTAAAGGTTACTATAGTTTACCCCAGTCGTAATGAGTGCTATTCCAACACCTCACGACAAGCAATCCCCATTGGCATAACGGCAAAAACATCTCTTCCTTCAAGTAAACAATAAACAGTCTGTTCTTGTTCCATTTATAATCGAAAAAAGTGATCAATTTTCGAATTTTAAGCTTATCGAGAGCCTTTGTGATGAATCACTTATCTAATTATAGAATCTAACAGCAAACAGCCAATCAGAATGCCGCGTTTGTGGGCGAACGCGGAAAGTACAAAATACCGGGCCTTGCTTGCAGGCCCACTATCAAGTTCCCTTGAGCCTGCTCCCTTGGGCCTGCACGCGGGCTACATATTGACACACATAAATTACTTTATAACCAATTTATAACCAACAATATACTGCCTTCTACTGTGAACAAAGCATAATATCATGGCAAAGCCAAAGTTATATCAAATAATATGTTTATTTTCTGTTTTTCTTGTCAGTCAAATGTCTGAAACCACTAAACCAGATTCAGAAAATAAGTCGTCAAAGTCCTTGAAGTGTAATGTTAAGAACATGATATTACTTCAACAAGCCTTACAGAAAGATGTATTATCTACGTGGCCGTTAAAGAAACCTTTTTCTTCATTACGAGATCTGCATTTGGACAAGAACAATTTCTGGTCTGCTATTAAACATGAGAATAACGAACGATTGCAAAAGACTGCAGAGAAAGTTCTACAAGGAAAGCCAGTTAATGTGGTTGTTTATGGGGGATCAAACACTGCTGGCGGGGGTCTACAGGAGGATGAAAAGAGTATAAAAGGAAGGTTTCCTATTATATTACAAAGCTGGTGGGATAGCGTAATCACACCAGCGACTGGATCGCGTTTGAATATCAAAATCATTGGTATTGGTGGAACATCAAGCAGTTACTATCAGTTTTGCTATAAAGTTTATCTACATCATAATAACATTGATCTCGTAATACTAGATTCATCGGTCAACGACAGAGTAGCACTAAGATTCAAAAATTCGACCAACATCAATCAAAGTTTACCATTAGAACAATTTACACGACAACTACTTAATGACCATAATAACCCTGCAGTGATGTTTGTAAA